GCTCCTATGGATTCCGAGTGTGGAAATTATTTGTGGGATGATCCACCGAGTTGCCGTTCTTTCAGGTTCTCATTCACGGGGGGTTTTTCTCCCACCAAGAGGGAGGGGAAAGGGCGAGGAAACCGGTTGCGTAGGGGGTTATTTGGGAAAGGTGAAGGGTGAGGTAGGAGATGGGTTGGGAGGAGGGGGAGAGGAGGGTGGTGAGGGAGGGGTATTGGAGGGGGTGGGGGTTTGTTGGGTGGTTTGGTACTGGTGTTTGTTAGAACTGGAGTGGAGGGGAAGGGGAAGGGGATAGTACAGACCTACTACTATGTCGTTGGAGGCTTCGGCGAAGTGGTGGTAGTGGTCTGGGTGCGAGGTTGAGAGTTGTTGGTGGAGTTTTGGGACCAGGCCGGCTGTGTAGGTTGGTGAGAAGGGGGTGGTGGTTGTGTAGACTGGAGTGGTTAGTTGGGTGTGGGTGTTCAAGGGGCTGGGTTTGGGAGGCTTACCTTGGGTATATGATGGAAATGGACGGATATAGTCTATGTCCTTGTCCTCGAGAAGGCAAGTGAAAGTGAAGATGTCGTCTGGTTGTTGGTCTTTTTTGGTGGTGTCAAAGTCTAATTGGCTCCAGGCGTTGAGGCCTGCTGCATAGAGTGACATGGTAACTATGATGTTTGGAACTTTTATGTGTGATAACTGCTGGCCTGTATAAAAAACCATTCAACGGCAAGAAACAACCTGGAATGCTTGCCTTGTGCAAGGTAACTTACTTGTACCTGCCCATCCAGTTGGTGTAAGCAGACCAATGAGGAAGGCGCGCATCCACTAAACCTCGTGATCCCCACCTTATGCAGACTTGCCAAGCAGCTGCAGCCTCACTTCAGCATTGCCGGCAGTAGGCCTCATCGACACTCGTTTTTGCTTGATTTCAAGTATATATATAAAAGGATCCCAATTTGATTTCCCGACGCGGGATGGACCTCCTGTTCTGACGACACTCTGGTCTCGACATCACTGCTCCATCTGCCCTGTCCAGCCAACTGACCATGCTCAGCGAGGTCACAACTGGTCGGTCATCATTCACTCAAGATATATGAATGGGCAGGATCCAAGCGGTATGTTCTCACCAGTGCATTGCTGCGTGGGCCTCCACACATCAGTACTACCACCCTTTGACCTTAGTGAGGCCTGCGGTGGCTTACCCACACTCCAGTTTGTTTCGTCCCAACCTGTTCCGCCGCTGCTTTGGAAGATGGGGACGAAAAGGCCATAGAAATTTCTTCTTTGCTTTAAAAGGCTATCAGAGTTTTTTACTTCCGCCACTTTGCTCGGAAGACTATTCACGCCACAAGTCCTTTTTCTGTTTACGCTCAACGCCGGCTATGGAGTCAAAGGATACTAGGAATACGATGGCAGATGAGCCCAAGGCATCCTCTTCTGATGAAGATGGACTTCAGGGGGTGGAAGAGGCCCTGCAGGCGGAGGCATTGGCAGAGAATGTCTACCAAGTGTCCTCGGACACTGAAGACACAGGTGGAACTGAGACGCCCCCTGAAGTCAAAACCTCTCCTGAGGTGATCATGACTGCGAGAGCATACCAAGTCGAAATGTTTCAGGAGAGTCTACAGCGGAACATCATCGTTGCAGTAAGATACCTCAGAATGTGATGGTTATGGGTGAAACTGACGCGGATATACCTACAGATGGACACAGGAAGCGGAAAAACTCAAGTGTGAGTTGAGCTTCGTGATTCAGTTTTGCGGAAATTGCTGACTTTTTACGTAGGGCGATACTTCGAATTCAGGAAGAGCTCGGAAGGAGCCCCAAGGTAGGTTGTTCACGAAGCCGATAATGTGGTCGAATAAAACTGACGAGATGTTTAGCTTATCTGGTTCCTTGCTCCTACCGTTCAGCTTGCCGCCCAACAGTTTGAGGTCATCGAAAAACAGATACCAGGAGTTCAGTCAAGGTTCATCTGCGGCGCGGACAATGTTCAAGCCTGGAAGTATAAGACCGGTGTTTGGCAGGCGGTCCTCACCAATGTCCGGATCGTTGTGTCTACGTACCAGATCTTGTTTGATGCTGCCGTAGCACACGCTTTTGTGCCCTTGGAATCTATTAGTCTTCTCGTCATCGATGAAGGTGAGTTTTCCTTGTCCATTTCGTTAACCATGGTTCAAGACTGATAAGGTGCAGCCCATAACTGTGTCGGCATGAATCCTGTGGCTAGACTCATGAGAGAGTCGTACGCCAAGCTGAAGCAGGAGGGGAAACCCGTCCCTCACATTCTGGGTCTCACGGCTAGCCCTTTGATGAGGTCCAATCTCGCTGGTATAGAAACACTCGAGCAGACCCTTGATGCAATCTGCAGGACGCCCTGTAGGCACCGCGACGAGCTTATGGCTCAGGTGAACCGCCCAGAGATGAAAGCATTCATATACGGAGACCTTCCTGAACCTCAAAATGCCACCCCATCGTCTTCAAACATGACCAGGCTCATCGACACCTTACGACAGATGGATATTACGGCTGATCCTCACATCATACGACTCCGTGAGGAGAACACGGAGCGTAGTCGCGAGGCTCTGAAAAGCGCCATCATGTCTCGCAATACTCAGTCACAGAAGCAGATGAAGGCGCTGTTTGCAAGAGCAAGAGAGATGATGATGAACCTAGGACCGTGGGCGGCGGAATATTACATCAACAGAGTTGTCACTGAGTTTCTCAAAGTTGGCAGTCCACCCGCCCCATCGGTTCACAACCTTTGGGATGAGGAAAAGGCCTATCTGTCGGCTACACTTCAGGGTATTAAACCTGAAGCACCGCCGAGCGTTCCAGATAACCTCTCCCGCAAAGTTCAAGCCTTGCTACAAATTCTCGCCTCCCATAAAGGCAACCCCGTGGGAATCGTTTTCGTCACGGAGAGGGCAACCACTTCGGTCCTTTCGCATGTTCTCTCGGTACATCCCGTTCTCGAGTCTCGCTACTCCGTGGAGTCTATGGTTGGCACATCAAAACTTCCTGGGGGCAAGCACAGTTTTCTCGATCTCACCACGAAAGAGGACATTGAGTCTCTGCACCGGTTCAGAAAGGGCAAGGTCAACTTGCTGGTGGCTACAAGCGTTCTCGAGGAAGGCATCGATGTACCCGTGTGCAACTTGGTCATCTGCTTTGACAAGCCCAGCAACCTCAAGTCGTTCATCCAGAGACGAGGGAGGGCTCGTATGAACGAGTCGGAACTCTGGGTTCTTTTCAAAGATGATCAGGACCAGTCTCTGGAGGAGTGGAAGGAGCTCGAGCAGGAGATGAAGCGCAAATACGAAGACGAATTACGGGAAATAGCAGGGCTTGAGCAGATGGAACAATCCGAGGCGGACGATTATCCCAAGATGACAGACCCAACAACAGGGGCACAGATGACCATCCACGACGCAAAGCAACATCTCGATCATTTCTGCTCAACCTTGTCCACCAGGAAGTTTGTCAACTGGGCGCCGTTTTACATTATCCACGATCTGGAGGGAAACCCCATCGACGCTCGCAAACCCGGCCTTCGGGCCGCCACTGTGAACTTGCCCGTCTCACTGTCCCCGAGTTTGCGTCGTGCAGAAAGCCTGCGGGCCTGGCCCTCGGAGGCTTTTGCTTGCAAAGACGCCGCTTTCCAGGCTTACAAGAAGCTCTACGAGGCGGGTTTGATCGACAAGAACATGCTGCCTGCCAGAACGACGCCTGGCTTGGTGGAAGTTGGAAAAACGGAGGGGATCACCACTGTTGAGGTGCAATATAATCCTTGGCTGGAGGTATCAAAGGCTTGGGAGAGCAGCACTAAGCTGTACAGTCGGCGTGTGACAATATCCAGCGAGGACGGCACACATTGGGCACAACTGGACCTTTCGCTTCCAATCCCCGTTCCTTTGATAAGAGATCAAGTCATTCATTCGGAGCGCAAAACATCTTGGACTATATCCATGGGGGCTGCTCATGAGAGAAAGTATGACAAGGACAATCGAGATCACACTTATGGTTTGCTCGCGATGGCCTACGGACATCGGTTTCCGATAGAGAAGAAACAATATCCCATCCGTCTTCTCTCGCCAGAGGAGGAGATTACTATTGACCGCATGGCCGCATTGGAATTCAACCGCGACTCTCTCGCCAACTGTTCTCAGTCTTACCTCATCCGGGATGTTGACAGCGCCAACCACCCCTATTTCTTTAGGGAGTGGTTTCCGAAGAAGCCTCCCATGAACATGATCAAGTCCGTGTTTAAGGGGTTCGAGGAGGCCCCAGAGGACGTCCCTTATGTGTCTGTGCAGGCGTTCCCCAAGAGGGCAGGTCAATTCCGCAAGTTACCCGATGCTTTCATTCACCAGCTACCCAGCGGGAAGCCTTACCCGCGAGTGATTCCTGCGAGCCAGGTCAAAGTCGACAAGATCCCAACTGTGTTTGCCCATGTCGGTCTGATGCTTCCCGCTCTTACGGCTGCAGTGGGTGACTATCTTGTTGCCAGAGACCTGCTGGATGGGTCGCTGCAAACGACCGGGATCACGGGTCTGGATCTGGTGGTCACGGCCATCACAGCATCGGGGGCGAGGAGGTCAATCGACTATGAAAGAATTGAGTTTCTGGGAGATTCCATTCTCAAGTTTTGCACAACTATCAACTGCTCGGCACAGTGTAAGTTTACTTGCCGCTTTGATTTCTAGAACAGTGGCTGACCGCGGTTCAAGACCTCCACTTCCCAGAAGGCTTCCTCTCGGCGAGCAAAGACAAGATCGTCTCCAACTACCGTCTCTGCAAAGCTGCCATAGATTTCGGACTCGCCCGCTACATCATCAACACTGCCTACACGACAGACAAGTGGCGGCCCGTGTTTGTGGAAGATTACCTCGAGCGCACCGACAACCCTTCTTCCGATGGACCGAAAACCAGGGAGATGTCGACCAAAACCCTCGCCGATGTGGTAGAAGCCTTGATCGGTGCCTCCCACATCAGCGGCGGTATCAACAAAGCCCTCGCTTGTATTTCTCTGTTTCTCCCCGAGGCCAAATGGCAGAGCATCGACCACGGCCGCCAGGTCCTCTACGACGAAGCCCCCGACGACGAGCCCCTCCCTCCTAACATGCACCTTCTGGAGAAACTGATCGGGTATACTTTCAAGAAAAAGTCCCTCCTCATCGAGGCAATGACCCATCCCTCTTTCAACGTGCAAGATACCCGCGCCTCCCTCGACAGGCTAGAATTTCTTGGCGACGCGATACTAGACTACCTCGTTGTCGAATCCCTCTTCTCCCTCCGCGAACCACTGACCGGTCTCCCCCTCGAAAACTCCAAGCTCCACCTTTTACGCACCGCCCTTGTCAACGCCGACATTTTGGGGTTTTTGGTGATGGAGTGGGCCATCGAAGAGGAAAGATACAACGCTGAAGTCATCCTCCCTGATCCCACTTCCAACCCATACCTCTCCCCCTCACGACGAACTTCTAGTTCAAGCACTACCCCCCCAGAGATCAACCTCATCAGCACCACGGCCAAATTCCCGCTGTGGTCATTCCTGCGGTACACCTCGCCCGAAATGGGCGAGCACATCCTCTCTACCCAATCCCGGCATTCTTTTCTCCGCGACGAAATCCGTCACGCCCTTGACCGCGGCGAAAAATACCCCTGGCCCGCACTTACAAGACTCCAAGCACAAAAGTTTTATGGCGATGTTTTTGAGAGCTTGATGGGAGCTGTCTGGGTTGATAGTGGGGATTTGGAAGAGTGCAGGGGGTTGATGGAACGAATTGGGATCATGGGGTTGATGGAGAGGTTGGTGAGGGAGGGGGTGCACTGTTTGCATCCGAAGGAGGAGTTGGGGCTTTTGGCGGCGGGAAGGGCGGTGGAGTATAGGGTTGAGGAGAACGAGGAAGGGCAGTGGGAGTGTGCTGTTGTTTGGGCGGAGACGGGGGAGGAGGTGGTTAGGGTTGGGGGTGCGAGGAAGGGGGAGGAGGCTAGGGTTAGGGGGGCTGATGCTGCGGTTGGGGTGTTGAAGGCGGAGAAGGAGGTAAGGGAACAGGAGAAGAGGAGGGTGATGTTGGAGAACTTGGGAAAGGATGTGGTTGTTGATGCGTGAGGGAGGGGTAGACTGGATGTCTCTAATGGGGATGATTCGGGCAGCGAGGCGGGGGGGTTGGTATCAGCGGGAATCTCTCTACATCTGTGTTTTTGATGTTTCTTTTTTGTTTCTCTGCTTGGATACTGCCTATTTCTTGTTTTGTTCTGCGTGTTTTTTCTCTCTTGGATGACGATTGCCGCAAAATATCTGTTTCATAGCGCTGGCTTGGATAAAGCGCGAGATACCCATAGAGCTCATTGTTTGAATACCCTGCCAGCGTGCGGTATATTTTAAACAAATATACCTTGCGCTGGCCGGGTTTTTGAGGGGTTAGCTGTATGGATAGTTGTGTTTTTACTGAGCAGCGCTAGACAGGTAGAGAGCTGATTTGGATATTGAGTGTGGGTTTGGAGGTTGGTTAGATTCAACATGTCCGGACATCTGGGATCACGAAGGAGGACTTGAATGAAATCGTCGTCTGGAGATATCTTTTGTTGAGTAGATTGCTTCAATTTTCCAATTTTCAGTAGGCTGATGAACTGTTATTCGGGTTGCAGTCGAGCTGTTGGTTAGAGTATCGATTCAACATGACGTGTAAGTCGGCATAAAGCTCAAAAAGCTGGCCTTGGCACGGGATACCCAACGGATATCACGGCAATCTTCTTGACCACTTAGCCCATCCCGCAGCGAATGCAAGTCCAACTCCCAAACTTAGATACTTGCAAGGCAATATTCTACGGTCTTGGATGACGTTTACCCTACCTCGCTCGGGAAGTCCCATCATCAAAGACGTATGCACTATATCCGAACCGAACCGAACCATCATCCTATGATGTAGGTGAGCAACTAACTTAGCTTCCCCGAAAGGTGAGAGAGGTGAGCGATGATGATACGGCCCGCGCATCCGCTCGGCGGCAGCGCCCGCCTCTTCAATCAAGCTTTGTTGGAGGAGGATCAAAAAAACTGGGAAGAAAGCCGATTGCGTTATCGCTCAGGCCGGGGCCATGTGTTGTCTTGCTGCTAGCTATCCTCTCCAGAACGATGCATTGGACTAGAAATCTTGGTCGCTAGACGAGTGTATGGTCGGAAGGATCACGACCATAAAGTTCCTGAACCTTGTTTGTCGACAATATATTGGGCCGTCCTGACCAGTGGGAATCTCGCCGAGTTTCTACACCACCCGACCCTCTCATGCAAATGCGGGCGGGATCTTTTGGAGGGGTGGTGGAGGGGGCACAGTTTGGCAGGTGTTTCCGACTCCCTGCCGAACGAAGTACTCTGACGACACAAGCTGGGATTGGCAGACCTTGGAGCTATTGCGTGGGGGTACAGCCAGGCTGCGCGGGGCTGGGGAGGACTATTCTTGTTTGGGGATGGTGCATCTATGGCAACACGAACTTCAGGTTTGAAAAGCGGTTGGTTACACCAGTTGGGAGGTGGGTGTGATTGGTTGGTGTCGGGATGTTTCGAGCCGCGATTGCGTGGACTTTTCTTGGGGGGGGGGATTGAGGACTATTTGCATTGATGAGAGAAGAGCGATTGATAGACGTTGGTGATGAAGCTTGGCTAGAGATAGCTCACGATATATTTTTCTTGGTAGGTAAGCGTATCCCTGCAAATCCCGTTGGAGTTTGGTTTGACAGGGGGATCGAGATCTCGCCGGGGGGTTGCTGCAGCCGAACCATGGCAGACGACAAAACCAAAGCTCCACACGCGATATCGCGATATGGCAGGTGTGTATGTGTGTGTCTGTGGAAGAAAACAGAATCAGGTAACCCGTGTTGTTGGTGTTTGTGATAGCCCAGTTTGATGGGCCATGTTGCATCTGTCACACCTCCCAGTAGTCCTCATCATTATAGTCGTGTTGGTTTTATTATCTTTGACCCTTTTCCCGCCATGTTTTGTGTGTGTGTTCTCTCATCTCTTCCACCACACCACACTCTCCAGTCACTCGTTTTGACGATAAGGCCAGGAATTCTCAGCTGAGGATAAGGACGGGACCGCTTCCGGGGAGCACCTGAAGGCAAACGGAGACCCGGCGGTGAACACACAGCAGCTCTTGACGGATACAGGGCCACTCGCTTTTTATTCCTCTTATGATATCGATTCCGCCGGATTGGGTGACTTGGTAGGAAAGAAGGGAGCAACAACAGGAATACGAATTAACCGCCACCAATTCGACAAAAAATACGAGCACACTCGTTCTTTCCCTTGAGGGTCCGTCCGACTTTGACCGTTTGATCAACCCACCACTCGCACCTGCCCTCCCTCCCAGCACTGTGGTTCTGTGGTCTGCACGGTGTGTGGTGTGTTTGCAACGGTCGCGCCTTCTCCCGTTCGTTTGCAGCTTTGAACCTCTTGTTCAAACCCGTTATCAGATCACCCCAAGCAACACCACAAAACACCCACCACCAAAAATAATTATTTTTTGTTTCGAGTATTATCTCTGCAGAGATATCTCAAAAACAGGAATTTGACCAGTATCTTGTCGACATTGATTATTGCGAAACTTGGCAACAAAAATCTTATCCACCTCTTGGCGATCTCCTGACAAGCACTGAAAAATGAAGCTTTCTTGGCCTGCCGCGATTGCGGCGCTGGCCGTTGCCACAACCGTTGAAGCCATTGGCCCTATTTCTTCTGTCGGGAACAAGCTTTTTACTCCGGATGGGAAGCAGTTTTTTGTCAAGGGTATGTTTTTTTCCACATTCTGCTGATCAAATTGGACTTTTTGGCTAATTTTTGGGGGTTGGTTGTAGGCATTGCTTATCAGTTGTCGCCAGGTAAGATTTTGGCATTTGCGCGACTTGGACAATTTGCACAAGAATACGGCAGCTAACATCAAACCACAACAGACGACCCCCTGATTGACACTGAGCAGTGCAAGCGCGATGTTGAGCTCATGAAGGAGTTGGGTCCCAACACCATTAGGGTCTACCATGTTGACGCGGACAAGAACCACGACGGCTGCATGAAGGCTTTCAATGATGCTGGGATTACGGCTTTGATTGATTTGGATACGTTTGATACGTACATTGAGCCTGTACGAACTCTCCTCTGCCCTTCAGTTCATCAGACTTGAAATACTAACACCCGAGTAGGCCAAACCCGCCTGGACCAAACGGATGCACGACCGCTACGCCGAGGTCATGGACGCCTTCATCAAGTACGACAACGTCCTGGGCTTCTTCGTCGGCAACGAAATCATTTCCACCGAAGCCCACTCCCAGGCGGCCCCCTTCATCAAGGCGGCTGTTCGCGACATGAAAGCCCACCGTGACGCCAAAAACTACCGCGAGGTCCCCATCGGGTACTCGGCGGCTGACATTGCCGAGCTTCGCCCAATGCTCCAAGACTATTTGACATGCGGCGGAAACTCGTCCGAGAATGTCGACTTCTTCGCGTTGAATAGCTACGAGTGGTGCGACCCTTCCACCTACGAGACTTCTGGCTACGAGAACTTGCAGAAGCAGGCCAAGGACTTCCCGGTGCCCATCTTTTTTAGTGAGACGGGGTGCAACGTTCCCGGCCCGAGGCTGTTTGACGACCAGCTTGCCATTTTTGGGCCAAAGATGAGGAATGATTGGTCGGGCGCGATTGTTTATGAGTGGATTCAGGAGGAGAATAGGTATGGGTTGATTCAGTATGAGAATCCGACCAAGGAGGAGGATGTGGTGAATGGTGTGGTGAGGAGTGGGACGCCGAAGCCGGTGCAGCCTGATTTTGACAATTTGAAGGAGAAGTGGGAGCAGGTTGGGCAGCCGACGGGGGTGGTGAAGGACAGTTATGATGCTAAGCATGTCTCGGTCAGGCCTTGCCCGGAGGCGACGCAGGGGGGGTGGTTGGTGAAGGGGAATGTCAAGTTGCCGGCGGTGGGTGAGACGTTTACGGGGACGTATGAGAGTGTGCCTAGTGCTACTGTTGCTCCTACGACTGCTGGAGGGGATGAGGGGACGGGCACAGCTGCCAATCCGGCCAGTGAGACGCAGAATCCCGCTGCGCCGACCAAGGTTGTGTTTAGGGGGATGGTGGCGGGGTTGGTGGGAGTGATGTTGTTTTTTACGGTGTGGTTTTAGACAGAGGGGGGTGGTGTTTACTTCTTTCTTCTTCTTTTACTGTTCTTACAAGAAAAGTTGGTGGCTTTAAACTGGGTATGTATCTCAAAGCATGGGGCATATGGTTGTCATGGTACTAGGTCGGGCATTGGGCTGGGGAAAATGGTTGGGCGGACGGGAGAGGGTGAAAGGGAGGCGTTTGAGGGTTTGTGATATACTTTTTTTTAACACTTCTAGTGTGAAGGCATGATGAGATGTGGGTGTATCCTTGCATGCATGGGCTTTTTTTTCTTCATTGTTTTATTTTATTTTTTATGAGATAGTGTTGGGTTAATGAGGGAATTGGGGTTTCCGAGATGACTGAATTGATGTGGGATACACGAGGAAGGTTTGTGATCATGGCGGGTCGTCGTCGGGAACAAGCATAATGTTAATGTCGAGATGTGGGTGATATGAAGATGATGGACAGGTTACATGTTGTACATATTAGAGAATACACAGCAGGAAGGGGGGTACGTGAGATCCCGTTGTAGTACTTAATCTACTTTCGATTTGTGTGTGAGATTCAAATAAAATTGAGGGTGTTCCCAGTAAATTTTAGAGGTGGACGGGTTGTGGCATGGTAAGGGGTTGTTGTTGTTGTTGGGTGATGGAGGAGAGACGTTGTCCAAGGAAAAGATGGGATGATGGTGGTGTGAGGTTTGTGGGTTTTGTCATACGGGATCAAACGGGCTAGGCTTGAGGTAGCGATGGTTGAGAGGCTGTTGTTACTACACCGTCACGCTTGTCTTTGGTGTATCGGTAGCTAACTACCTAATTAGAAGAGATTTCTTGCGGGGATGAACAACACCGCCACTGTCAGGCCAGATGACGAGATGCCGGCCCAGAGTATCGACAGGAAGATGATTCGGTCTTGCAGGACGATCAGAGGTTTGCTTTCTACTGGGACTGCGGTGGTGAAGGTCTTTTTCTTCCAGCTCTGTTGTCGGTATTGTTCCTCCCAGGTGGTATTTTGCTCTCTGTCTCTTGTGTCGACGCCTGTCGGGGTAAATGGGGCTGTGGAACTGATGCTGGTGCTGGTCGTGTCCATCCTCTCATGCCCCCTTTTCTCATTCTTGTCGGTCGAGGGCGAGTGGAAGAGTGGAAGGGAGGTTTGCTCCCAAGGGCGAAGTTGGCGTTTTTGTTGAAAGTGGAGGTATACATCTAGCCCTTTGATAGAGGCGAATAACCCGGTAAGCCCGGGCCAGAAGAATAGCAATCCGAGGACTCGTAGGTAGGGGGATTGCTTTGAGAGGATCAACACCATCTCGACGATGAGCCCTAGTAGCGCGAGGATGGCGCAGATTACACCCGTGAAGACAAGCCGAGCAGTGTTTGCGTTGGTAATCGAGTGGCGGATAAAAGCTGGATGAAGCAGGTTTCTTAGTGTCGACTCGACCGACATGAATGCCGGAAGTAGGGCGGTAGGGTGGGTTGTATGCTGCACCGCACGTATGCACTGCTCTCTGTCGTGCCGTGATAGACATTTCAACGTCTCGGGAGAGGAGAGGAAGAGCTTTGTTATGCGGGAGAGTTCGGGGTGGTTGGGTTGGATGGTGACTACTCTTGTCAGTTCAAATTTCGCAGGAGAAAAAGGGCAGCGGTTGGAAGGTTACATGGCTGCCAACTACACCCTCTCATCGACTCGGTCGGGCTCAAAATCCCACTTATAGAAGACGACGGCGTCCTCGGTTGCCCCGAAACAACAACCGACACAGCGCTCGCTGTTGTAACAGTAGAAGAAGCTGAACTCGACCGGCTTCTTGACATATCACCTTCCTTCTCGGGCTGCTCGTCAGAATGAGGGGAACTGATGTCCATAACTGCGAGCACCTTCTCCATCTTCAAGCTCCTGGCCCGTTTGTGGCTGTAAGTGATAAACCTCGCTGCTCTTGGGCCTTCGGTGGCTTTTTCTGGGTCCCATGCTGGGGATAGGGCTTTTTGGCGAGGGAGGAGTTGGGACCAGCGTTGGACGTAGTCCCAGTACCAGAGGAAGAAGTGGAGGATTTCGGGGGAGTGGGAGGAGTGGGTTAGGTAGAGTGTGAAGTCGGGGAGGGAGCAGGGCTGGGATCGGGTGTTAGTGGTGGCGATGATAGGAGGGAAAGGGGTGGCTTACGGAGGCTGTTTGGTTCTTGACTACATTTTCGAAGGAGAGCTCTTTGGGGATCTTGGGGGAAGGGGTTGTTGGTTGGGGGAGCTGGGTTGCTTCAAAGTCCGCCATCTTGAGAGGATGTTTGTGATTCAAGTTGGAACGAGAACGGTCTTGGACAGTGCCTGGTCAGGGAGGTGGTGGTAGAAACATCAAAAGGTCGTCGAGCATGAGAGATCGATGAGATGTTTAGACACTCATGGGACCTGGTCTAGACTAATATGAAAAAGCCAAAGTCGTCCAGAAATGGATCAGACGAGCTTCATCCAAAGACGGGAAACCACACATTTTAGTAGCCTGTTCCATGTTCTGCTTAAGGCATCTAGAATATCACTCTTGAGACGACAAACTTGGTCCACCAATCACGGTACTCTACAAGCATCATAAGCGTCGGCCAGAAGTGCTCAATCGTGCTCAAAACCAGGGGTGAGGGAGATCAATGCCGCGTGCCTTGTTGCGGAGGCTAAGGCATGTCATGTAAGTAACGACTTTCCCGATCAGGAAACTGATCCTTCGACAGCTCGCTTTTGGAATCCGGGGAAGGTAAAGACTTCGGTCGGTCAGGGGCTCGTTCGTCGCCCTGCGGTCCGTTACCCGCCAGATCTACCAAAAAAAGAAAGGGAAAAGGTACAGTACCGCTGCCGGGTCGGTTGTTGAGTCGGTGACTTGGCTCGCGGTCCCGTTAGTCTCGCGTTTCAGATCTTCGATAGGCGGGATGTCTAAAACCAAACTTGGAATTTATTCCAGGAATGATAAGGATAAACTTGTTGATTGTCAATGCCTTCAAGTGATCTTCCCGGGTAAACACAAAACCATAAAGTTCGTGGTTTCGATTGCTGGTGATGTTTGGTGGGAGTTGTTGGTGGTGAGTAAGATATGTCAGACCTTGGTGTAAGGCGACCAAAGCATCGTCAGCATCATCCTTATGCAAGCTTCCTAAACAATGGGAGTCTTTAAAGTGAGGCTCTTCTGCCGCATGCAACCCTCCCATCGCTAGTGATGGAACACCCTCCGTCTCATCGGAATTACAGTTACCTCGCTGGCCCCCAAATCCGGGTTGCATTCTGAGTGCCGACGGCCCTCGAAGCCTTTAGCGACATCTTATACCGTCGAACAAGATTTCTTTTTTTTTTTTTCTTTTTTCTTTTTTTGCATAAATTTCCGAGGGAGCGGTACAGTCGAAGGCCCCTTGTTACTTGCTGTTGACCCTATGTTGGGAACGAAGTATCATCGACACACGGAGCCGTAGATCATCACCACCCCTGGGCTGGCTTATCTCGAATATTTGCGGGACACGTCAAGTGGTCTTTCGGACTTCTTCATGATAACCCGTTACGCCGTGGACAAATAAATGGAGACTTCTATTGCGAACGAGACCTTCTTGTGGTGTCGTCGATGGCCGTGGCAAGTGCATCGGCGAGATGTACCCGTAAGCTTTCTTTCAGAGGTCCAGTAGCTTCGGTCACCTCATCATCTATAACACCTTTAGTTATTGTCCCTTCGACCGCCAGGGACGTTGGAGTGAAGTTGCAACCCAGAATCTGATGACACTGATGTGATGGTGGGATGCCCAGGCCCAACGGTGTAAGACGGACCAACTCCGAGGCTGAAGGAGCCGGTAGTCAACCACCGACTGGGTGCATTAAGCCTACCATTACGAAAACACCGGGCAATAATCAAACGCCACGCCTTGGGCTATAGCGAGTAGGATTGCTGAGCCAAGGTTCTGGTTAGAAATGGCGATACCACCTCACAGCGTTGTTCTTCGTATTCGAGGTTGGGGATGGTCAGCAGGTTGTCAGATGGAAAGCCAGGTTCAAGAGATGTAAATGAGAATATATATTTCATCTTCGGGGACCGTTGCTGTCTCATGGAAAAAGTCGGTAATTGTCCGGGATAAAGACATAACAATGCATTTTCGATCTGTTATTGAACTGTTGGCGATGTCGTCGTTGGCCGTGACGGGCGCCTCGGCGGCATGCACTCGTAAGTCTCTGTCATATCTTCTTGGCTTGGAGTTCTCATAGACTGACTCCAGCGGCGAACAGCGATCCCATCCTCCAGTACTGCCACTCCAACTCCGACCCCCAGTGTCACTCCCGACTGCGGTGGCGACCAGTCCATCGCTCTTTGCTGTATGAACTTGGCTCCTTGGTCCACCAACAGTGGAATCTGGGGAGGTGCTTGTGGTTACTATCCTGCTGATCCCAACGAGAGGGTCGGGGCGAGGTGTATTACCCGTGAGTGCAGTTTGATTGATGAACGTTGGTTGAAAACTATGTGACTGACACATGATAGGTGCTCCTGGCACGAATTGCTTTGGCAGTCTCCTTGCAACTTGTTGCGCTGGGTTCATTGTAAGTGCCTGTCGTCGATCGTCTTGCGGAATTCATGCTGATGATTTTTACCCCTTTGCCTCTATAGCCAGGACAGTGTTCTCTGGGTACTCGTTGCACATAACTGGGTAGCAGTCGACGTGGAGAGATGTACTGAAAAAGAAGGGAGGTCAGAAAACACCAAAACTGGAATGACATACCAAGGCTGCTCTCTCGCTTGTTGGGTCATGATTCGTTTCAGATCAGCTCCGATCATATCACATGCAATAGCGAATGATTCCCAAAGTTGAGAAAGGGAAGCATCGAAAAGTTCCGTTTCCCAAACAAGAATTGTTGTCTTTATAGCGCCCTAGCACAGACGGCATGAATAATCGCCAGAACAAGCCGTAAAGATCTCAACTGCCTGTCATCCATCAACCCGCATAAACCGCAGGAAACTGAACAAAAGTACAAGAAGTGAGAAGATAGCATCTTATTATCTGCCGTCCTCCTCGACATCTGATATCTGATATCAGCTCAAAATAACACGCCGAACCCGTCTTAGTCCTTTTCAAACATGCCAACGCCAAACGTGGATGGTATCAGGTCCGCACACCCACCCCAAAGTAAACCCCTCCAACGCCGCCCAATGTAAAGCAAATAGAGACCGAGAAATCGCTGCAAACCGGAACAGAAGGCCACAAGACTGTTTACTGCACCTTGGCCAAGATAGCCTTCTCTCTCTCGCTCTTGCGCTTCTCAAACTTCTTGGCCGAGTGTTTCCGTTCGTTCTCCTCTCTCCTCTTGATGGCCGCCAACTCCTCGCGCTTGATCTCGCCCGCCTTCTTGATGACCTTGGGCACATGTCTGTGACGGCTGATGCGGCGGATTTCGGGCATATGGCCAAACCTTTCGGTAAGAGCCTTGTTGTATTCGAGGGCTTGTCGCTGCTTCGTCGACTTGACTCCACTTCTCTCTGAGGCGTTTGCGCGCCACAAACGGAGGTTGCCGTCGTCACTGCCGCTGATGAGGTACTTGGAGTCCATGGTCCACATGGTCCTGAAGACTCTCTGCATTCTCTTGGTGTGGTACATGTCGCGGGATGAACCTTGGTCGCGCTTGAAGATTCTGATGGTCCTGTCGTAAGAGCCAGTAACAAGCTCCTCACCGGTAGGCGAGAACTCAACATCCATTACAGCCGCGACGTGCCCCTTGTGGATGTTTTGAGCCTTGTTGAAGTTTCTGGCATCGAATACGTAGACATTATGGTCTTCCGAGGCCACAGCCAAGTTCATGGCCTCCATGGGGTTGAAAACAACACGGTTGGCCGCAAACTTGAGCACTGTCTTGACAACCGGCATATTTGTTCGCAGATCGAACAAGATAACCGACCGATCTGTTCCGACAGACGCAATGATGGATGTTTCAACCTGATTGAAGCACACATCGGTAATGGTATCTGTGTGGTTGGGCCACTGGATGGTTTGGGCGGCTGTGCTCTGCTCAAGATCCCACACACGGATGCAGCCGGCACCCGAAGAAGCAGCAAAGACGTTTCCTGTCCGGTGGACCGAAAGAGAGGTGTAGGGGCCGCCTTCTTGCCATGATGCGAGAGGAGATGTGTTGTCGGAGGCTGGTGTGTAAGGGTCCCAAAGCTTGATACCGTCGGTCGCGCAAGACAGAAGCTTCTTGTCGTTGGTGAAGGTCAATCCCTTGACGACATTGTTGTGGGCCGATGCCTTCCAAACCTCCTCCCGCGACGTAAGATCCCAGACCTTGACGATGCCGTCACCGGAACCGGAAGCAACACTGCTGAGAGAGTTCTTGTCCTTGCACATGCTGTAGATACCCTGTACGTGACCGCTCCCTAACTGTCCCAAAAAGGGCTTGGCGAACATGCGCTCCAACTTGACAGCATTGAGCGCTCTCTGGTATTCTCTGGCTCTCTCGAACGGATGGATTTCGGGGGCTAAGTTTCGGGGGGCGCGCTGGTTATCGGAACCAGGGGCCTGTTGGACCGTAGTCGGCCGAGTGAGGGCTTTGATCTGTTATGCCCATGTTAGCAGCCACAAAACCAGAGGTTGAAGCTATTCCAAGCTGCTAGTAGCTCTGAAAACATTCTGCCATTTCGCCGTACCTTCATGATTTGTTCCCTGTAGCGGACTGGTAGTGTATCGTTGATCGCGCAAAGTGGTGGAGCGTGTGGTTGGTATTATCACCCGAAATAGTCTGCTCGTGGACAAGGATGTAGCGGTGAATTCGGAACAGATGTTGGACAGGCAGATGCTTCTTTCAATCGCCTGCTCCAAAGTCCAGGCGCATCTCGAAATTTTGGCGGGGTCTGGAGGCAGAATGCTCACCGCCCGCTATTGGTCAGCCACACCAGCTCCCAGCAACCGATTGGCGCCACAGTAAGGTGGACCTGCCAAGGCTGGATGCCGCTAGCTCCATTACGTCGCAAGCACGGCTACCTAGCTGACCTTGCAGGGGTGGACTGGTGGTGAGGCGGCGGGCATCCATCCAGGTTGGATTTGGAGAGCTGCAACCACGACCGCTTCCCAACGCTATAACCAATACCAACAGCATCCATTTCACGAGCCATATCCGCGACGACCTTGCCGTACCATCTTGATCGACCGGGGACTCTCAACTTACAATCACCCCCTTCCAACCAACAGCATCCACGCAACACGCAGTCACAATGGCGCAAGGCGACTCCGAGAGGGTGCGCGAGGCTCAGAAGCTCGCCCCAGTCAACCCCCAGAAAGCTATCGAACTTTACAAGGAGATTATCTCCCAACCGCCATCCATAAACTCCGAGGCCGCTATTCGGGAATATGAGACTGCCCTTATCAGCCTGGGAGAGCTCTACCGCGACCAACAGTGAGCCCCTCGTTGGCAGCCTTCATGCGGGAACTGCTCGTCTGACCCTAACTAGGAACACACACGAGCTCGTGGGTCTCGTAACCACAAGCCGGACAGTTCTGTCTTCGTTCGCCAAGGCAAAGACAGCCAAGTTGGGTATGTAGCTGGGTCATAGGAGGCTTGCTTGTTGACCAGAAACTGACCTCACCCCCCACCAGTCCGCCAGCTCCTCGACCTTTTCGATGCCATCCCCAACTCCCTCGAAACCCAGATCGCCGTCACAAAATCTTGCATAGAATGGGCCACCTCCGAGAGACGAAGCTTCCTCCGACAAAACCTCGAGACCCGCCTTGTTGCCCTGTACATGAAGAAGCAAGCGTACTATGATGCTCTTACACTTATCAACGGCCTCCTCAAAGAGCTCAAGCGCATGGACGACAAGCTTGTCCTCGTCGAAGTCCAACTCCTCGAGTCTAGAGTGTACCACGCCCTCGGCAACATCTCCAAAGCCCGCGCCGCCCTCACCAGCGCTCGTACCTCTGCCGCCTCAGTCTACACCCCCCCTCTCCTCCAAGCCAACCTCGACATGCAGTCCGGCATGCTCCACGCTGAAGATAAGGACTTTCAGACGGCATTCTCCTACTTCATCGAGGCCCTCGACGGCTACCACTCCCAAGACGAGGCCTCCCGCGCCCAGGCTGCGCTGCAGTACATGCTCCTCTGCAAGATCATGCTCAACCTCGCCGACGACGTCAATCAGCTCATGACCAGTAAGCAGGCCCAGAAATACGCCGGCAAGTCCCTCGAGGCTATGAAGGCCATCGCCCGCGCGCACTCTAACCGCTCACTGGAGGAGTACGAGCGTGCCCTGGGTACCTACAAGTGGGAGCTGGCGAGCGATGGATTTGTCCGGAACCATCTGAGGAGGCTGTACGATGCCATGCTCGAGCAGAACCTTATCAAGGTCATCGAGCCGTTCAGCCGGGTTGAGATTGACCACATTGCCAAGATGGTCAGCTTGGACAAGGAGCAGGTGGAGAGGAAGCTGTCGCAGATGATTCTGGACAAGGTGATTATTGGTGTGCTGGATCAGGGGGCGGGTTGCTTGATTATTTATGACGAGACGCATCGGGATGAGGCGTATGATGCGGCGTTGGCGACGATTGAAAAGTTGAGCAATGTGGTGGATGTGCTTTACACCAACCAGGCTTCGCTTTTGGAGTAGGTTGGCTTTTCAAGAGGGAAGAGGTGGAATTGCTGTAATATCACTACACTAGGTTAGGGTGAGGAGGTACTTGACAGAGAACGCACTCTTAGAAAAAGGGGTGTGGAAATTGAGAATCAAGCGTTGATCGTGAGGGTTTATTTGATATGTGATACAGATATGAACAGACAGTGAGTGAACGATCAATGCCAAGGTGGCCTGGTTTGACGCAACGTAAGAAAACAAAACAATTCATTCATGTGGTATCTTTGACGCTTTCCTTTTCCTCCCATGTTCTGATCCTGACAACCATAACCCTGCCTTGACCCAACAAACAATGTTAAAAGAAATAAAAAAAGAAAGAAACAGCAACCTTGGTATCTCCCTGTTTGGTCCGTTATACTACCCAGCAGTATTCCCTTATCCCTCTTCCATCTGATATCCTGACTTGCATATTTCCAACACTTTCTCAACTATCCCAACAATCACCTCCTGCTCCTCTCTTTCCTCTTCGGCTTTTCAACCTTATACTTCTTCCCCCCACCAGCAAACACCCCTCCAAGGCTAAACCACCCCCTCTTTTTCCTCTCCCTCTCCTTCTTTACCTCCTCCCTTTTCCTCCTCCGTTCCTCCATCCCCTTCCTATCCCGTCTTCTCATCTCCCCTATCAGCACAGCAAATAACATCCGTACAAGCTCCCACTCCGTCCATTTATCTTCTTCTCCTCGGGTGTGCAAGACAACGTGTTTGTAGTACTCTACTATCTGCAAGTGCCAGACCTCAATCGTCATTGCTTCTTGTGGTTCCCCGATTGAGGGGACGAGACCGACGTAGGATTTTGAGACGTCGGATAAGGGGAGGATGGGGAGGCGGTGTTGGCGGTGGAGGGTGAGGCATTGGTCTAGGAGTTCCCAGTTGGGGATTCCCCATCCTTTGAGGGGGTCATTTGGGGGGGGAGAGGTGGTGGTGGGGACGAGGGAGGAGAGGAGAGAAAGGGGGTTGGGGAGGGAGGGGAGGGAGAATTTGGGAAAGAAGGATTGGGGGGGTTCTTCTTCTTCTTGCTCTTGTTCATGGTCGTGTTCGCCCTGTTGATGATGATCATGGTCGTCTTCTTGGTTGTAGTCGCCATGGTCATAGTCATCCTCGTGATCGTAGTCACCCTCTTGAGCGTAGGTGCCCTGTTGATGGTGATCGTAATCTCCCTCTTCTTCCTCATCCGAGTAATCCTCTTCCTCAACAGGCTCAAGATCCCTCCCCTGGTAATCACGTTGCCGAGGCTGATACGGTTCATACCGCTGCTGGTCCTGTTCAGACAGAGGAGGGGTAGGCTCTTGGTCCCTGTCTTCACCATCCTCATCGTAATGACCCTGATCAGGCTCCTGCTCCCCAATTGCCTCCCAATCCAACTCTGACGGCTGCTCCTCCACTTCCCGGCCATACCCCTCCCACGTAGCCCCCCTCGGTCTCTGTTCCGGTTCTTGCGCCTTGGCCTGATGAAGTCTCTGCTCAAACGACGCCTTCCCATAGTGCAGCGGCGGTCCCAACTCTTGTGCCCTCCAACCCTGCCGGTCCTGCTGCTCTCTCAACTCCCGATCTTTTCGCTGCTGAGAGGTATCCGAGAAAGGATCAGCTTGCCGCCCATTCTCTTCCTCTTCACTGGCTTCAGGCTGTGGCTCAGGCAGCTCAGGGTAGCTAACCACCGGCTCCTCACGACGGTTGTCCGCCCCAGTCCGCTCACCAATTCCACCTTCTCCAGCACCTTGCTTCTGACTCCGAGATTGCCTCGTCTTCTGCGGTGAGTTTGCCCGCCTCTCGCGCGGCAACGGCGAGAGCGTACTACTCGTAAACTCGACAACCGGCCCGGGAGTCTTCCCCTTGAGCGGCGATCGAAACGAGGATTTGGCAGGAGACGCCGCTCGGTTCGGCTCATGTCTCGGGGGCGTAGTTTTTGGACTAGAAAAAACCTCGGCCGAGATTTGTTGACCGTTCTGAGCCCGTACCCGCTGCCGACGTTTCTTTTGAGGCTCAATCAACTGACGGCTTTCCTCAAAGAAGCGGCCGACTTGGCTGTTGTCTGGGTTGAGCACATTGGTGGTGGCCGGGGGGGCTGCTGCTTTGGCGGGCCCTGCCTGTGGCTGGAAGAGGGTGTTTTCTCCAAATTCTCGTCTGCGGGGCGCAAAGTTTCGAAGCTGGGGGATCTTATTCGGGTTCTCTTGAGGCTCGACGGGAGAGGGGGGGCGAGGGGCGGGGATGGGCGGTCGTTCTGGCTCTTTGCCCTTGGCCCGAATGCTCGTCTTTGCTTGATCGGCCGTGTTATCCGTCCGAGAAGTGGATGGCTGAGTTGTAAACGGCTGCGCTACAGACGGCTGAGATGCAGAGGGTTGCGATGTTGAAGGCTGCAATGCAAATGACTGCGATGTAGAGGCTGCTGTCATCTGCTCCTTCGCCTTCCTCTGACCTTCCGTGATCCTGGCCAACCGCTTCTCCATGATCTCCTGAGCACGAGCGGAAGTGGACCTTCGTCCTCTGTCCTTTTCCTTGTCTTTTAAACCGCCATCGATGCTTTCAAGGCTATCATCATGTGCGCCAGACGGCACCTCCACGTTCTGCGAAGCATCCCCGAAACCCGATTGCTTCTCAGTGACTGCTTCAGCAGTAACACTTTGATTTTGCTGTTCCTCAATCTCCACCAAATGAGCAAACAACCTATTATCCGGTTGTCGCAGCTTCTTCCGTTCCTTTTGTTGCTGTTGTACTAGGTTGTTGGCTGGCTCTCGCCGTGATGGCTTGAACAACCCCATACCGGGCGTCTCTTGGCCAGGCAACAAGACAGGCGATGAAAAAAAGCCGCTCAGATTGGTCCTCGCCGGAGCTGGGGTGGGTTTGACGGCCGGCCGCTTGTCAAGCTGTTCCAGAATAGAACTGGACTCTTGTTCGATTTCATAAGCGTCATCAATCTGAGAATTCCGTGAAGAGCGAAGCTGATTTTCTTGGCCATCCCTCTGTTGTTGACGGCTGATACTCCTCCCCAGAGTCGGGATCTTGCTGCTCTGCCGGGACTCAACAACAGGTGCTTTGATCTGCGGGGGCACCACTCTTGGAGCGAAAGGGGTGACGCCACCAGCCTCGAGCCAGAAATCAGCATCATCTTCCTCTTCCTGAGCCGGCTGCTCTGGTTGCTGTGTGTTAACAGGGTCCATAGTGAAAGGCTCCGGTTCAGGCTGGGGTGTCGGTTCTTTGGCAGGCAGACGAGTCGCTTTTTGTTGTGGTCTCCTGTCTGTAGTCTCGTGATTTCGGCTAGAAGTAAACGACCCCCGGAAACCAAAATTGCTTGTGCGCGCAGGCTCGGCTCGCTCTTGAGCCCGACGTCGTGCTGGTTCAGCGATCGCAGAATTGGGAGCGCTAACGGTAGCTTCTGGATCAACCTCAGGCTCACTAAAACGCGCCTCACGCCCAGAACTTCTTCTACTTGGGGTCTCCTGAAGATCCTCCTCGGGTTCCTCCTCAGGCTCCTGCTCAGGTTCTGGCCTGGGATTCGAAATCCGGGTGGGCGACAAACTCTTGGCTGTTTCGGCAACAAAATTCTTAATCTGCTGCAGTCCTCTAAACCAAGGTCGGTCCTGCTGCTTCTCCTGGGCGGTGTCAGTACGCTGCGGCGACGGGGAGCGGGTGGCTCGGGGCTGTGAGATAAAGGGCGCGGGGGACTGGCTCGACTTCTCAAACGATCCCCGAAATGGACTCCGCAGTACACTGTCTCTCCCTGGGGGCGAGGGCGGATCGGATGTTACAAGCTGCAAAACTCGGCCGGCACGTACTATGGGTGAAAGGCTAGGCCGGGGCTGCGATCCTGGGGGCGCTAGGTTTAGTGACTGTACATTCAAGTCTGTTCTCGGTAGAGGTGCCACGTCCGACAGCTGATCGGCTGGGGTTTCGTTCGACTTTGTTCTGGTGTGCTGCGGCAGGCGGGCAACAGGGACCGGCGGGCTAGGGTCACTGGCAGGTGGGGAAGAGGGCATCTCGACCTGAACATTCGGCTGTGCGGGTTGGTTGGGTGAAACGGTCCCTGCATCTTCGTCTACGCCATCGCCTTCAGCCTCGGAGGGTATTGGGGATGATGTCTCATCAGGTGTCAACAGCCTATTCGATTCAAGGTGGGGGATAGAGTGATTCACTGGTGAAGGCCGCTCAATAGACGGCTGGATTGGGTGGCTCGCGGCCTGCGCTTCCTCTTCCCCTCCATCATTGTCCGGTTCCTCCTCTCTTTCTCCATCGCGCACTTCGTCGTCATGTTGCTCTTCAAGCTGCGGTTCCACGTGTTGGCCTGGAGTTGCAGCGGCATACACTTCATCGGGCAAGGTAGAGAAGGAATCCCCTTCTCCACTCAGGTTTGATGTGTCGGCAGGCGATGGTTCCTGCGTTGTGTTGGCCGAATCTGTCCGTTGACGAGCAGCCTTGCGGATCAACTTCCCGAGTAGTGACTTTGGCTTCTTTATTGGCTTCGACTTTTCTGGAACTCGGTTCCACCAAGCATCGGAGTCGTCTGCGGGTTCATCCTCAGCTTCGACTTCAGCTCGGATTTCGACCTCACTGGGACGGGGTGGCAATCGTTTGTAAGGTCGTTTGTAAGGCTTGGGTTGCGGAACAGGCCCATCACTGAACTCAAAGTCTGGGTCGGGCCTCGACCTAGAGTACTGTTCTTTCTGTGACGGTTCTTCAGACGCTTGTCTCGGTTCCTCAGACTCATGCCTGGGTTCCTCGCTTTCTTGTCGTGGCTCCTCAGACTCTCGCCTTGGCTCCTCGCTGCGTCGCCTGGGCTCTTCAGAACCTTGCCTTGGCTCCGCGCTCTGTTCCCTAGACTCGTCACTAAAAAAATCAGGATCAAACGATCTGCTCTTCACTTCAAAGGAAGAAGTGTCAGCTTTCTGCACTGGTCCAATGCTAGAACCAAAACCAACCACCTCCCTCCGCAAAACAGCTGCCCTCTCAGCAGCCTTTGCTTCTTGTTGTCCAACAGGGGGGCTGGAAGCAGACTCGCTTCTCCTCTCAGCAGCCGTGTTCTCACCCGGCAAAATGCTGAAATCAAAATCAAAGTTCTTCCGTGGTGGAGTGGGGGATTTTTGAGTGCTTTGTCCGAAATCGAGTCCCTCCAGCTGCTCAGCATGAGAAGATGCAGCAGGTTTCTCAGGCCCGACACTGAAGTTGAAACTGGTCTCCCTTCGTCGGCGCACAGAAGGCATTTGAGTGCTCTGCCCAGGGTGAAAACTAGAACCAAAGTCAAATGGCTTCCTTGGCTTAGCAGCTTCCAGTTGAGATGTCCGCCCTGGCCCGACACTAAACCCGAAATCATGCTCTTCCCCTGTCTCTTGTACTGCCTCTTGTGAGCCCTCCCCAGCCGCAGTCCCTCGACCCTGCCTAAGATAGTCGATACCATTCTTAATAATGACTTTTGTGGCTTCACCGAGCTCTTCCTCTTGCTGTTGTTCCTGCCCGGCCATCATACTGGAATTCATCAGAGACCTGAGCTCGGCAAGCGGGACCTCTGTAAAGTCCTCCGCTCCCGCCATGGTATCCTGAGCATCCCCCAAATCACGAACCGGACTTGTCATGTAATCGCCCTCATCGTAATCGTCCTCGGGCCCATCGTGCATGTTACCCCACTCGCCTTGTTCATCGAAATCACCTTCGGAGTGCTCGGGTTGTGGTTGTTGTTCCGGCTCTGGGGACGGTTCTGCTTCAGGCTCGGGTTCTGGTGCTGGTGATGGTTCCTTCGGGGGAGATCGATTGCTTAAACTCGTCCGGAGTCTCTGCGCGGCAGGCGACGAAAGGGTCCCAAGCCAGATATCATCCTCCATGTCGCCTGCACCATCATCGTCGTGATCCTCCCCAGCCGTAAATTGATCCTGGCCGAAAAAGTCATGTTGTACTGGTGGTAATCTCGAAGCGTTGTCCTGTTGTAGTATTTCCGCAATGCTGCCCATATTCACCTCGGCAGGAACCTGACTCTTCCGCGGCCGTCCTCTTTTTCTCGGCTGGGTATCCTCTTTTGCGGGTGTCATCGACTTTCGTTTCGCCGGCCTCTTCAACAGGCTGACGGGTCGCGGCGTCGCCTCGATATGTTCCAGCGCATCTTCGTCTAGTGGCTGCTGCTTCTGAGGGGACTTTTGTGGCGATCGAGACGTGCCTCTCGCAACAACAGCCTTCGCTCCCGGTGTACCAGGTCGTTTTCGTCGCGTCGTAGGTACCGGCGTCCCAGATTTCCGTGGCCGACCTCTCCTCCGCGGCGTCACTCCCTCATCATCACTCAGACCGCGCACCGGCACCACGGTAGTGGTAACATCCCCTCCTCCCCTCATAACTCCCCGTTTCGGCGTCGGCGATTGGAAAAGCCGGCGCTTTATGCCCTTTGTATTCCTCACCTCGTCCTCAGCCTGGACAGTCACCAGCAGCCTCTGTGGCGAAACGGGGCTGCCAATGTCGAGCTCAAAGGTTCGTTTCCTAGGCGATCTCGCAATGGATAAAAGTCGCGCGGCGGGTTGGGCTCGTGGTTTGACGCGCGACGGCGGCAGCATCGGTGGGCTGAGAATCGGATCTATTAGCGGGTCGGGTGAAGATCCCAGGTTCAGCGTTATGGTGTGTTCTTCATCCATGTCCGCGGTCGTCGCAAATTTGCCGCGGGCGAGGGCGTCCAGAAATAATAATCATGGGGGCAGGGGCAGACGCATGGACATGCAAGCCCACGACCTGCGTGTGTGTGTGTGTTGTCTCTCCCCTCCAAAAAAGATATGCCAAAATTTAGACGCCACCCCGCCTAATGAGGGCCACCGTTTAACGCGTCGATATAATGGATATGGGATGGAAATGATGGTTTGAATGCGACAAGCTGCGCTTCCTATCTGTGTGTCCTGTGCACGCACAGTTACATCCGACCAGGTACCAACCGTGTCTGTTTACTTGTTGCCTGATTAGGCTAAGCCTTTTGATGGGTTGCTCCAATCAAAACATGTGGCTGTCTTCGACAAGAATACCCCAGGTCTTGGCCAAATTTCGGGATAACTTTATGCCCTCTTAATGCCAACGGTGCAGACGTCATTCTCAGCACTTCCTATCCGTATCCCCCTCCTTTTCTGAAAAGAAGATGCAGATGCGGCCACTTCTCTTCTTGCAGCAACGCTAGAAGATGGGAGCCCAAAGCTGAACAAATCATTTATTACTAATCTTTGTCGCATCTTGAAGGTCTCGAGAACTAAAGCGCGCCCTTCGAGTTGTTCTTCAACATGACGTGATGGGGCTAATGGCGCAACCGGCCGTGTAAGTGGTGAATCGTGTGTTTGACAGCATTTGACTGTAGCATTGCTTGATAATATCGAGAGGGTAAACCTTTATTTCTAGACAGAATCATAGAATATATATACCTTGACATCCTCATCCATTGGATCCCTTCTGATCATCATCTCAACATCCATCTCTGCCACCCACCGCACATATCCCAAGACAGCCCACCTCACACCTCACCACCATGGCCATCGACCACCTTCCCGCCTCAGGCGACGTAACCGCCCCCCTCAACTTCTACTCCCCCCCCTCCGACAATTTCCCCCCCTTCAACCTTGCCGACCTCCCCCCCGACTCCCCAACTCCCCCCCGAAACTACGGCTCAACCCCCGTCCCAACCCTCATCCACGACGCCCGCCCCAACCTCGCCTCCTTCACGTTAGACCGTGACTCCTTCCAAATCCTCACCTCCCAACCCCCTCCCACTTCCGAACCCTCCCTCTTCACCTCCGACACCTCCATCAAAACCCACTACTACCCCGAAATAACCTCCCTCCTCCTCTCCACCATCCCAAACGCAACCCACATCCTGATATTCGACCACACCATCCGCCTCCCCTCCCCATCCGCCCCCCGAACCCCCGTTCAGCGCGTCCACATCGATCAAACCGCCCTATCCGCCGCCCAGCGCGTAAGGAAACACCTACCCCCCCACGAGGCCGACAAAATCCTCTCAAGCGGCACCCGATACCGCATCATCAACGTCTGGCGACCCCTCAACGACGCACCTCTTGAATCCTTCCCCCTCGCTTTTGCCTCCAGCGCAAGTTTACGAGATGAGGAAGTGGTGCCGGTAGAGCACAGGTACACCCAGACGGGCTACATAGGGCAGACGGCCGCCATTGCCCATCATCCTGATCAAACGTGGTATTACCTTTCCGGGATGCAGAACACCGAACGGATTCTCCTGCAGTGTTTTGACTCGGAGGCGCTAAAGGAAAACAGCGAGGTCAAGGGGGGGAGGGTGGCGCACTCGGCGTTTGAGGATCCACGCACCAGACCGGAGGCCGAGGGGAGGAGGAGTATCGAGGTGAGGGCTTTGGTTTTTGGTCCTTGAATCTGTTGGAATTTGGAAGGAATCAGCAGGCGGAGAGAGGAATCTGGAAACAGAGAGTGGGCGAGTAGCATGTCACGGTTTGGAGCAAGCAAGTTAAAATGAATTGATTTATTCCATGTGAACTGATAATAATCCGGTGAACTAATCAGTCCGCCGCCTCCGCTGGGGTATTGCAGTAGATGCCCATGATGCCGCCCGCAATGTTATGAAATAAAAGAAGAAATCGAGCCCGATATATAACCGCCCAACCCAACCCATAACTCCCTCCCGAAAACTCCCTTTCATATGCCCATAAGTAGTATGTCATGTACAACTTTCATCCACCAAATATGATAGGTGGCGCAAAATGGCCGCATCCCAGATTAGGAGACTCGATGTTCCTCATTCCTCCTCTAACCGCCCCGTCCACCACGTCCTCCCTTCCGACTGCTGCTGCGGCTCATAGGAACACCATTGGCACTGGATTGTCGGCTCATTGGCACTCCTCCAAAACCCTTGGCTGGCGACTGGCCTGGTGTACCTCCATGACCTGGACGCGGGGTGCTGCTCCTTTCGTTGCTCATAACAGGCTCGACTGTATCTGGCAGCACCGGAAGCCCGAGGCGCTTGCGCACCTCGTTCTCCGAAGGCCTTTCGCCCTGAAGGTAAGCAACAAAGCGGTGGTCTCTAGCTGGGAAAGAGGCAGCTTCGAGAAGCTTGCGGCTTCCATTCTCCACAGCAAAGCTCGATCCAGGGCCATTGGCCTGCTCATACTGCTTGAGGGCTTGCATGACCATCATATCACCATTGACGTCGTCGTTAGCGAGGCTGTTGGTGGTGTTGTACTCAAGTCTGTTGTGCCCCTTGATGTATGTGGATGGGAATGTGGCTGGGAGTTTGGGGTCTGCAGCAAGCATCCTGTCGAAGTTGCCAGGAAAGTCAAAATTGGCGAGCAACTCCATTCCCATGAGCTTGTCATCCACGAAGTTGGGATTGTTTGAGCCACGAAGTCCGCTGCGAGTCGCGTGCGAAATATTGCGCTCCATTGGGGGCGCAGAGGGAACCGAGTCGCCGTCATCGTCGTGCTCGCCGTTGCCGGAGTCGCTACCGTCTGGCGACTGGATAGGACGGCCGTTCTCATCAAACTTTGGCTTATGCGTCAACAGATATTTGTGGGCGGCAAAGGCAGCCGTGTTGTAGGTCATTGAGAGCTCCTTGTCGGTGAATAGCTTGTCGATGCTGTAGATTGGTCCGGTGGTCTTGCGCACTGCTAGGCGGTCGGTTTGCCAGAGAGGCGTGGTATTAGCATTATCTAGAGCTCGTCGCTGGGGGGCTGGGGAGCCATCGTCGTCGTTGTTATTGCGCTTTCGCTTCTTATTGTCCAAGGACATGTCGTCAATCTCTCCTCGTCGCAACCTCGTCGCTCGCTTGGCGTGGGTACCGCCAGGGCTGGCAGGGTTTGTGATGCTGAACTGGTTCGGGTGAAGCAGAAGAGCAGACGAGTCGGAGATTTCCAGTGCCTCCTTCTCCTTATTCAATCGGAATTTTTTGGTGGTAATGGCGTTGATTAGGCGGTCGCGAAGGGTTTGGGAGAGCGCGCGGTATTCTCGGTTCGCTGTCTCGACCTTAAAGGCGTGGGTGTTCATGTACTCAGACACCTTCTTGTCATAGTCAAACTGTGAAAACAAGGTCAGTTTTTGACAAAAAGCGACAAAAAGTCGCAAGGAAAGTATTCCTTACCTTGTGCTTCGCTAAAGCGTAGTCACGCTCCTCCATCAAGTCCTGGACCTTGTTCATCCAGTCTGTGAATCTCGGACCGGCCGCTCCAAGGTACGATTGTGGTGTTGTGCTCGCATCGGCGTTCAGCTGGTGGAGGATTTGTTGGTACTCCTCCTCGAGATTGTCAAATGGTCGCTCAGCGTATGGGTCAATCCTCATGACCAGATTTGTGTCCATTTGGATCTTGTGAAGTTGCTCGCGGAAGGTTTGGTCCCTGTCTCTAGCCAGCCTATCGTCAAGCTGGGCCAGTCGATCGGAGATCAACTGGCGGCGCTTGTCTCTCTTAGACTGTGTTGCTTGCGCTGATGTTCCAACCGGCGCAACGGCCGAGGAAGGGTCTGTCGTAGCCATTGCGAATGCGACTCGAGGTGTGAAAGCTCTTGGTGGTCGAGAAACGAAGAGAAGCAGTCGTCACTCTCGAGACCAGTGTCGGGTCGATCGCCGAACCTGACAGGTTTGCGTCTGGCGAAGAAAAGGTGCAGAATTGGTCGAGATTTGTATATATTAGGGAAACTCTGGTATCAGAAATGAACTGGAGAAGGCCGTGATCATTGTATGCAAAGTCGACCTTGTTGAACTTGGTGTTGTGTGTCGGGTGACCGGTTCGAGAAGACAATAAGTCGAAAAGAAAGCGCCTTGCGCTGGACTGGCGGCAACCGACGGAACGGACTGGCCGGCCTGCTATTGTCACTGTTCTCCCAACCCCAGCTGTCAACTGTGGCTTGCGCACGGTTTTCTTGTATTCAAACCGCCAATGCTGTGGCTTGAAACCAGGAACACCAGAGCTCTGACCAATCAGATGATGTCTGGCGGGCATAGCTTTAGAGCCTTGCTCCACTGTGGCACAACTGGCGCCGACTTCGAGCAAGGCTGCTCCGTGTGGAAGACAGTAAAGCTCACACTGTCCGCCCACCGGAAGCTGCATTCAACAGGCAAGTGTTGTGTCACTCAGCCCACCAGCCTGAATTCAAAGAGATCTCACATCAACTCGATATTTTGAGAGGGACTCGGTCAATAGCTCAATACTCGACCGATATTCAAGCCCGGGACAGCTTTCTTATACCAACTTCATAACACATCTCTGCAAAGGCAAAAGCAGAACCCAAATTTACCCCTCCTCCAGGACCTGCAACGCCACTTCGTCGACCTCGATTTGACGGACCAAAGCTGGTTAGGGAGACAATACCACCAACAAAACAACATCTTGTTAACCGGTCTTTGGGTTTTGACCCTGAATTGACTACCACCAACCCGCCACTAGGCTTAACCTTACCCTCACATATCAACATTCAAGATGGAGCACCTCTCAATACATGACCACCAACACGGCCCTCCCCCCCCTGGAATGATGCCGCAACCTCCTCAACATCCAGGCGGCCCTGTACCCCAGGGCATGATGCCCCCGGGACTCGGCCGCCCTCCCCAGCCCCAGCAGTTGCCAGCCCAGATGTTTACCACTGCTGCCCAGCTGTTGGATCTCACAGATAGTGTGTTCTCCTGTCCTCTTTCTCACTCACACATGAGTACTAAACACCTCACAGAAAAACTCATGATCTCCCTCCGCGACGGCCGTAAATTGATAGGCATCCTCCGCAGCTGGGATCAATTCGGTATGTACATCTCTTGAACTATGACGACCCCAAATCCAAGGAATAAGATATACTCAACAAGCCAAACAGCCAACCTCGTCCTCCAATCCACAAAAGAGCGCATCTTCGTCCCCCCCGTCCTCTCGGAAAAAGAGCCAACCGGCATCTTCGCCGACATCGACCGGGGTACGTTCCTAGTCAGAGGCGAGAACGTCTTGTTGCTTGGAGAAATCGACCTCGACAAGGACGACGATGCGCCCCCGGGGTATCAGCTGGCCGACATAAAGATGGTGGAGAAGCTCGCGAGGGAGAGGAAGAAGGAGGAGAAGGTCAAGGAAAAGAAGAAGACCAAGATGCTGGGGAAGGAGGGCTTTGAGGGGGAGAATTTGGGGGAGATGCCGCTCATCTAAGAGGTGGGGACGAGAGGAGAAGGGTAAGGGACTGAAAAAGCAGAATATTGTGAAATGCTTACTTTCGGGTTCTTGGGGAAGAGAGAGACCTGTTACATGCTCATGGCTTATGCGTAGATATGACATGATTGAGAAGGAGGGTTATGAAGAGGAAGAGCATCTCATAGCGATGGGTTTGTTATTGAAGCAAGAATGGCATGGAAATGAGGACCATATACCATGTCATGGATTTGGTAAAAGTTTATGACATGAATAGCCATCTACCGCGCTCACACTCGGCATCGCAACACCCCTCAACTAGGTACACCCATCTCACAAAGCAACCACGAACCCCTCAGCTCTCGCCCCCTCCCTAACCCATTGCTCAGGCAACTTCACCCCCTCATCATCCACCCAACCCCCAGCCATCATCCCCACCGCCATCAGCAGTCCAGCACTGTTGGGAAAATACGGGGTGGGCACCCTCTCCCCTCCCACCGCGTAGCCAGCATCATCAAATTTGAAGATGGGATGAAGTAGATACTCCACCGCCTGCTCTACATCCCCCAGTCTCAGGGAATTCATAGCCAACATTGCGAAATCCCACCCGTAGCTCTCATTCAGTCTCCACGTCTCCTTGATCTTGCGAGCCGTGTTGTTGACTACCGTGAGGTCCACCTGCGGTGACGGGGGAAGGAGACCAAATATCCCAGCCTGAGCAGGGTGGTCAAACGTTGTCTCTGCGGCAATCCACATGTTTGGGATCCCTTCATAAGTAGCGTAAGTGTTGTTGACGACTGGCAGGGGAGCTAAATTATCCCTGACAATACCCCAAATCTCTGGCGACGTCTGGTTCAGTCTCGCTTTCCACTTCGTCGCAACATCAAGACCAAACCTCCAGTAGGCGAGCTCAAAAGTAGGGTTGAGGGTGATATTAGGGTTGGTATTCTCCGACACGGGATACAACGGAGGGCCGAGGTCGTAGACTTTGGTGGAGGAGTTGAACCAGGCAAAGTCCGCCATGAAATTCGCCGTTTCTGTCAGGATGGCGTCCCATTTCTGGAGGGTGGTGAGGTTGTTGGGGTGGGAAAGGTAGTCTGTCTCCGCAAAAAACATTGGGTGAGGCTGCTGCCAGATGAGGAGGGAGTTTATTTCCCCCGGGGATGACCGGCTGGTGAGGGGGTCGGTCATTTTACCCCAGCGGGCTCCGTTGTAGCCTTGCTTTTCTGCGCGGGAGAGGCTGGAGGGGAGGAGTTGGTTGTAGAGGTGGGGGAGGGAGCGGTGGAAGAGGTCAAGGTGGTTCCAGCGGGCGAAGGGGAGGGTGTGCCAGAGGTTCATCTCGAGGTGGAATTTGCCGTGCCAGCCGTTGTTGACTAGGCCGGATTCTTGCGGGGGGAAATCGGAGGCTGAGTTGACTGCTGTGAGGTATTGGGAGTGGATGATGCGGCGTTGGAGTTCGAGGGCGCGGGGGTCGGAGTGGACGGGGGTGAGGTCGATGAAGGCGCCTTTGGTCCAGTAGTTTTTCCACCAGTTGCGAGAGGCGGTAGTGATTTGCCGGTAGCTGGCTTTCTTGCTGGAAAAGTTGGGTGTCGGTGAGAAGGAGATGACGAGTTGGATCTTGGAGGATGATTTAGGGGCGAGGACGTAGCGATGAGTTCCGTCCAGGGGTCCGGTGATGGTTGCTTCACTGCCTTCCCACTGAATCAGCGTATAGTATGTGGTGCCGTCCAACGTGTGCTTGATCTGGGCACTTTGAGGCGAAAGCTGCTTCCAAGTCGTTTTGTGTTTGGAGGCTAGATTGAAGTGTCCAACAAAAGGAGCATTGAACTTTTCCTTGTCTGGGTAGGGAAAGTCCAGAAATAGACCAAGATCTCCCCTTTTCAAGAGTGATGACTGAACCTGAACAGCAACAGTGTCAGAGTCCGAATCGGCCCATGTCTGAACTACAATCTTTGACCCATTGAATCTGGAAGATGAGGTCAGTCTTCCCGACCACATGTCTAGCTCCTGGGTCTTTTCCTCCAGATCACTTTCGACAACATCATGACCACCAAAGTGTAGTCCGACATTGGCGAGGTTGAGTCTATGAGGGTTCTCTCTCAGCCAGTTCGAGATGTCGTTTTGGGCTGGGTTTGGCTGTTCATAGCGGACCAGTCTTCCATGCGTCCACCATTCCAAGCCGGTGTAGTCTTGAGATAATCAGTTGGTTGTCTCATGGATCATATACCTATCTGGTGTCTCATACTCACCTTCTACAGCAGTCTGCCCTGGGGTGGTGGGAAGGCTGAAGTTGTGCCATCCCCAAGTGTTCATGATAGCAAAGGGCTTGAAGGTTTGGAGCCCGGTAATGTCGGCCCCGAAGGCAAAGTTTCCATTTCCGACTTGCAACGGAGTTGTATCAGAACTTGCATTTCGGCGTACACTGAAGGACTGCACTACTTTGCGTCTTTGCTCAACAGAAATCCCCTTTGCCTCAGCCAGGCAAAAGAAGGCAACGATAAGATGGAGAGCTCGCATGTTTGTGTGTCATGAGCTCGCAAAAGCGATGTGACTTTCGAGATGTAGCAGACTGTCCACATGCTGCACAGCATTCTTATACATACAAGTAAGGTAGTATAAACACATGGCAGCCATGTGTTCCCCTCATGTAGCAATATCTCAAAGTGACCCGTTGATCTGGGCAATGGACCCTTGATATTCAGCCATCGACCACTAAACCATTAGCCTGGTAGAGACTGCAGAGGTCTGAAGAGGGGTGGTGACATCCATAACAAGGCAAGATATTCTTTCCCGTTGCAAATAGCAACCAAGGAGAAGAAGGTGGGTTGGAGAACGGCAGCGGGATGGACGGTCACTGCATTGAGGCTGATATGAAATTCCGTCAATAAGCAAGCTTCCTGATGTTCATTCGAGGGGTGGTGTCGTCAAGTGGTCGCATGCTAAGTGAGGTCTCAAGTACTATCCAAAAGACGTGAGAATATCTCCCAACTTATAAGAATGGTTCGAGCAGGCATCTCGAGTTCAAAGTTGGGTGACATGATGTGAGCTGAGGGTTGAAAGTGGAACGGGATCGCAGTCCAGCTGAAACAAGTGGGCAAGAGTTGGGGAAATTAGGCCCAACTACCCCGCTAAAGTGGGCTAAATGCCGCCCTAGAACGGCCCTGCCACCACGCCGCAGACAGGCCGCCCAGTTGCTGTTGCTGTGCAGCATTATTTGGCATGTGTTTCCATGCTGGTAAACATCCCACCCACTCAGCCGTCTTTTAACTTTTGTTGACTTTAGACTTTCTACGCCCTCTTCCATATCTTGGACTTGTCGCGCCATTCAACCATATCGAGAATCCACAACGAGAGGCCGTCCGACATTCTGTATCTGCCAGTCTTCATCAGAGGTCTGTTTCGAGCTCTGCTCCGCATTGACAGCAGTGGAGTTTCCCCATTAGCTGCGTCATCATAGCGAATTGCCCCGCTAACCTTTGGCACACTGCGACCTGCAGTTCACCAGTATCCCACAGACAGTTTGCGCTTTGGGTTCTCATCATGAGTAACTTCTTGACGACAGTGTGAGTTGACCTCCGGCCGTTACCCCTAGAGCCCCGACCAAAATCCACGATGCGCCCCTCTTTGCCCATTTTGAAAGAACCCCGAAGACGCTTCACCGACTCGACGTGGGGCGCCTAGCTCAATCCCAGCGAGACGCACGCGACCATTGCAACTACGAGTTGAAGATATCTTGGCTAACTTGGGCACACTGAAGTAACCAACGGACGAGGAATCAGTTCAGGCCTCGCGCTGGCGGCAAAGGCGGTGCCACCAGCTACCAACTTCGTCAATATGCCGAGGCGACCCTTGGCGGGGGGAGTCTTCGCAAGGTGGTGAAGCTTCCTGAGGGCGAGGATGAGAATGAGTGGTTGGCCGTCAACAGTATGCCCTCTCATTCCTAAAATTACCACCGAAAATAATAGGCCAACTGACTCGTGATGGATAGTGGTCGATTTCTACAATCAGATCAACCTGCTATATGGTGCCATCACCGAGTTCTGCTCTCCTCAGTCATGTCCCGAGATGAAGGCCACGGATGAGTTTGAGTACTTGTGGCAAGACTCGGAGAACTACAAGCGACCAACGAAGATGCCAGCGCCGGCCTACATTGAGCAGCTCATGACTTGGGTTCAGAGCAATATTGACAATGAGTCTGTGCTTCCCAGCCGTATCGGTACGTTGCCCGTCTCTACAGACTAAAGATGACCCCCTTAACACAAGAAATAGGCGTTCCATTCCCCAAGTCTTTCCCAGCTCTTGTGCGCCAAATCTTCAAGCGCATGTACCGTGTCTACGCGCACATCTACTGCCACCATTACCCAGTCATCCGAGAGCTCGGCCTGGAACCCCACCTGAACACCAGCTTCAAGCAGTACGTCCTCTTCATTGATGAGCACAACTTGGCCAGCGGGAAGGACTTTTGGGGTCCTTTGGGGGATCTGGTGGACAGCATGTTGCGTAGTGACTAGTCGTGGAAGATTGGGATGCTGGGTTTAAGGATAATGCATTGCTGGCTTGTTGCATGTGGCGTTTGGGTACAGATGGATGGATGGATGGATGGGAGCTTGGAGCTTGGAGCTTTGGGTTTCAGGGTATGGATGTCTGTCTCTCTGTAATAGGATTCCTGTAATATGGCATTCGGGTAATGCATGTATGCGAATCAATGATAAGTAATTGACTTGAATGATAAAATGTATAAAGACCAAGAAATCCAATCGGGCGCAGGGAGGTTACATAGGTGACGGTGGGTGGTTGGCCCGGTTCCACCCGGCAGCTTTGCTCTTGGCCCCATCACACCCGCCCGCCAGTAGCCCGAAGCTGGCTTTCTGCCTGAGGCACCCCTCTTTTGCCGAGCAGCCAAACCCCGTTTCTAAAAACTGAAGCTCAGGTTCACGACACTCGAGGTCCGCATCACCGCATCCAATCCCACAGTCACCATGTTCTCGCGACAGGCAGTGCTCCGCGCCGCGCGGTCCGCCGCCCCCCAGCGCGCCATCCAGGCCCAAGCCCGCACCTACGCTGCCGCTGCCTCCAACGAGAAGGTCAAGGCTCCCGTCTCGCTCTTCGGCCTCGACGGCACCTATGCTACTGCTCTGGTACGCCCCTCCCTGACAAGTCTTTTCGGTGTCGGACATTTTCTGGGGTGTTTTTTTCGGAAGGGGGGGGAAGCAATTGAGTTGGACACTGGGGGGGAACACATCAATTGGAAATGGGACAACACCGGAGAACTACGAAAATGGAAAAGGGAAAATAATTGAGGAACAATCACTAACAAGCTGCGTCATTTTGGTTTTGGCGCCATAACAGTACACTGCCGCCGTCAAGACCTCCTCCCTCGAGCCCACCGCCAAAGGCGTGACTTCCCTCGCCAACCTCCTCGCGAAGGACCCCAAGCTCGTCGGCATCCTCGAGGCCCCTACCCTCTCCGCCGCCGACAAGTCGGCCATTGTTTCCGAGCTCACGAAGAGCGCTGGCGTCTCTGGCGAGACTGTCAAGAACCTTTTGGCTGCTCTTGCTGAGAACAACCGCTTGGGCTTGCTGCCTGGTGTGTGCGCCAAGTTTGGCGAGCTGATGAGCGCTGCTCGTGGTGAGGTTGAGATGGTTGTTACCTCTGCTCAGGTGAGCCCCCCTCCCCACTGTTCACAAGGTAGGAAGGGGATGGTGAGGACTGACATGTGACATGACATAGCCCCTCGACAACAAGACCCTCAACCGCCTTGAGTCTGCCGTCTCCAAGTCCTCGTATGTTGGTGAGGGCAAGAAGCTCAAGGTCAAGAACCAGGTATGTCCCCACCGCTTTACCCCTTGCTGTATATCACTCCACCATATACTAACACTCTACCTCAGGTCAACCCCGACATCATCGGCGGTCTCATCGTCGAGGTCGGCGAGAGAACAATCGACTTGTCCGTCTCCGCCAAGCTGGCCAAGATGAACAAGCTCCTTACTGACACCTTGTAAATTATTTACTACTACTACTACTACTACTACTACTACCTCTTTTTTAACAAGACCGTCATGAGCCGTTCAGCCCTTTGCTTTTTTTTGCTCCTTTGTATAGTGTGCAGAAAAGGGGATTGTGATGGGGATAGGGTACGAGAGTGGAAGGGGACCGGTCAAGTTTCGACACATCAAAGGCTCGCGGTCATTTGTCTGGATCTTTCGAGAGAAAGGAAGGACGTCCCCCTGTGTATATGAGCCGAAAATAGACGCATTGCTACAAGCTGGATATCTACCTGCTTGCCGTCTTGGTGATCCTCTTTGTGATCGACACTACAAGCCCTCCTTCTCGCCCGTCTGTAGCTTCGTCCATGCAGTCACGACCAGTTCAGCGACTATGCTCCCGCCCACCACCGCCGCCTTCAGGAAGTTGTAAGAATACAAAACCAAGAGTTCCCTCGGTATCTATCTCATTTCCTCCGAACCAGGTGGTCCCTGTGAATGTCCACCAAGATTGGGAGAACCACCGCTGCCTTTTCAACCATGGATTTCCATAACCACCCCCCTTTCCCCTTCCCCTTCTCTTCGAACCCCAGATTGACTGACCATTTTTGTCATACATGACATGACACCTTACGTTTGGTAACTTTTTGCTCGTCCAAACATACAGCTTTACCCAATCTGAAGGCTAGGCTATACAAAGAATGGAATGTGTGTTGCTTAATCACGACACAACTAACTCGCAAGCAAACACCAGGTCGAGACAAAAAGGCAAAACAGCTAGCTGGATTGAGCCAAAATTGAAGCAATCAGCAATTTGTCCCTCAGAAAGAGGATAGGTAACAAAAATCAAATCATAAGGTTATGCATCAGCCGTGAATCGAACACGGGGCCCATCGATGGCAACGATGGATTTTACCACTAAACCACTGATGCTAGTATGAGTGATGAGAATTGGTGGCGGAATACGGGGTTATGTCAGGATACTACCCTCTCCTCCTTCATCTCCTTCACCCTGCATCACCTTCTCTCTCTCTTCCTACCCATCATAACCTATTTCACTTCTTCACTGGCGCAGATATCAAAATTTTCGACTTGAATAGTTTCCAAAAACAAAAAGCCAGCCCTCACATTCATCAACCTCTCTATCTATCAACTATTTTCTCTCCTTAAAAGCAAAATATCCTCCCCATCCCATTGCATAACCTTATCCCATCCTGATTCCCCCCGCCAAACTTTTACTCATTGGCATGAGCCTCGAATTCATCACCCTGCGAGTACCCATCCGCCCCCCTCTCCAGCCTCACCTTTTCCAGCTGCTGGTGAATATACGCATGCAAGTGCTTCTCATCCTCCTCTCTGCCCTTCAGTTTCTGGCTCAGAGTCAAACCGTTGGTTCCATTTTGACCCATGCCTGGAGCGGCCATGGATCCCTTCCTGGCCGGGAATCCTCCGTCCGCCTCGTCGTCGTAGCCGTTGAGGTCATTCAGGTCGAAATCGCTGCGGGCGGCGATGGAACGGCTGGTCGAGGAACGACGGAGGCGAGGGGAGAGCATCGGTGTGCGGGGCGTTTGGGCACCGCCGAGGTGGCGATGGAGGATGTCGTCGAAGTAGTGCGCCATGCCGGCGGACGGGGTGCGAGGAGTTTGCGGGAGGCGGCAGTTGACACTACAAAAACGATTAGTACTCATGTCAAACCCAGGAAACGAGAGGAGAGAAACATACCCAGTATCGTGAATCATCCTGGCAATCAAACCCGTCCAGCCACACTGATGCGTAGCTCCCAGACCCCGCCCAGAGTCTCCGTCAAAAAACTCATAGAACCAAAGGTAATCCCTCCAGTTGGGGTCGAAGTCCAGAGTATCATTGTTGCCGTTGATACTCCGACGCCCATCGTCATGGCGGGCAAACATGTGTTGCAGACGGTGCTGGATCTCCTCAGACACATGTCCCAAGTGCATGAAATCGCCCGAACCAGTTGGGCACTCCACCTGCAAGTCTTGTCCGAAGAAGAGATAGAACCTCTGCAGCGACTCCACGAGCAGGAAATTGACGCAGAGCCAGATAGGCCCTCTCCAGTTGCTGTTGCCACCGAAAAGGCCACTGTCCGAGTCACCGGGAACATAGCCGACCTTGAAGGTCTGACCGTTGACGTCCATGGAGTAAGGGTGCTCCTTATGATACTTGGAGAGCGACCGGATGCCGTAGGGACTGAAGAACTCGTCCTCGTCCAGCATGCGCTCGCAGATCTTGAGCAATCTTTCCTTGTTGACAAGGGACAGCAAAATCCTGTCACCTTTACCACGCTTGCGGATACTGTGCATGGTCCTTTCAGCCACGTCGCACCTGTTGTTCATGAACCACTCCACGCGCTTCTTGAAGGAGGGAAGTCTGTTGAGGAGCTCAGGCTCCAAGGTCAAGGTCGCATAAAGCGGAATCAAGCCAACAAGCGACCTCACGGGCAGCTGCTGAATCCAGGGGCCACCCCACGAGATGGCATCATAGTAGAAGCCGTCCTGCTCGTTCCACAGGGACTGCTCCTCCTTTTGGCCCATTCTCCAGGTCATGGCATCACTGATGAGGATGAAGTGCTCAAAGAACTTGCTGGCAATATCTTCGTAGATACGGCGGTGCTTGGCGAGCTCGAGGGCAATGTTGAGCATGTTCAGGCAGTAAAAGCCCATCCAACCAGTGCTGTCAGCCTGCTCAAGAGTACCGCCCGTAGGAAGGGGCTCAGAACGGTTGAACAAACCAATGTTGTCCAGCCCCAAGAAACCACCTTCGAAGACGTTCTTGCCCTCAACATCCTTGCGGTTGACCCACCAGGTGAAGTTCAGCAACAGCTTCTGGAAGACTCTCTCGAGGAAGTCGAGATCCTGCCTCCCATACAGCTTGCGCTCGATCTTGAAGGTACGGAACGTAGCCCAAGCGTGAACAGGAGGGTTGACATCGCCAAAGTTCCACTCGTACCTGCAAATTATCAGTCGGGAACCACTTCACATACACGCAAAATTCAAGACTTACGCAGGCAGCTGGCCGTTGGGATGGCAGTACCACTCGCGGGTAAACAGATCGAGCTGTTTCTTGGCGAACTCGGGGTCGATCATGGCCAAGGTGATGCAGTGGAAACTTGTATCCCATGCAGCAAAGAAAGGATATTCCCAAGAATCGGGCATGGATAGAATATCGTCACAGTGAAGGTGCTTCCACGCAGAATTGCGTATGCCCTTGCGAGACTCGGGTGGGGGAGGCTGGCTGGGGTCACCGTTGGCCCATTCCTCCCAGATGAAGAGGTAATGCTGCTTGCACCACATCATGCCGGCAAAAGCCTGGCGCTGAATATTGCGAAGATCATCGGCCATGGGCAGAGGGCTAATGTGGTAGTAAAAGTCATCGGCCTCTTCTCTCCTCTTCTCGATCAGGTCATCAAACTCCTCTTCATCGAGGTAGGTCTCAGGCTTCCTGGAGAACCGGAAACGGACAACTTTAAGATGGTCAGTCAATCTTCTTGAGGAAAAGATAGGAAGAGGTAAACATACCGGCGCACTCTCCAGGGCCCACACCGCCGCCTTCGTTGAAAGAGTACCATGCGGCAGCCTTGGTTCCCGTCTGGGCCGGGTTGATAGCACCCTTCTCGCCATCGACGATGTACCTATGGAAAGCGTCCTTGACATATGGCTGCTCATTTTTGCCCTTGTAAAGCAGCTCATAGTTGGTATCGTTCTCAGTGAACATGAACTCGGGGTGCACATCATCCCCGCTGGGTCCTACGCCGGGCGAGGGTGAGAGAAGGACATAGCGGTCTCCGAGTTTGTGATGCTTGGACTTGAGAAGATTCTCATCAGCAACCCCGATAGCTGGCTTGTTCTCAGGCGATTCGCGACCCCAAGCCCACGTGTTACGGAACCACACATGAGGGACAATGTGCAGCGGAGCAGGATCTGGGCCTCTGTTCCACGCAGTCACACGGAAGAGGAGCTCATCCGGATCGTCATCCTCCTTGGCGGTCTCGATGAAGATATCCCAGTACCGGTCCTCGTCAAAGATGCCCGTGTCGAGGATCTGGTACTCCTTGTCCTCCTTGCCTCGCTTGGCATTCTCCTTGAGCAAGTCCTCGTATGGGAAGGCCTTCTGAGGGTACTTGTAGAGATATTTCATGTACGAGTGCTGCAGTCATGCGTAAGTCAAGCGTTAAACTTCGGCTGTTCCATCGTCTGCATGAAGGGTCTTACCGTCTGCAGGAACATGTGGTTAGCGCAAGCCGATTTAGGGTTTCTGGGGTGCAGGTGTGTCAATGGCACTTACAGGAGTGTTATCCAGATGGAAATGGGCTTCCTTGATACTTTCGCCATGGTTGCCCTGAGGGTTAGACAAGCCAAAGAGACGCTCCTTCAAAAAGGGGTCCTGCCCGTTCCAGAAAGCAAAGGCGATGTTCTGGTAGCCGTGGGTGTCGCAGACACCGGCAATGCCATCCTCACCCCATCGGTAGGCGCGGGATCTCGAATGCTCGTGGGGGAAATCTGCCGATCGGTTATTATGTGAGTATCCCGCACTACGAGAAGGAGGGGTAGCACCGTAACATGACACACGAGGGATCACTCACGGCTCCAAGCATCACCATCGGCACTGTAGTCCTCGCGCACTGCAGTTCAGTGTTAGATGAGGCATTCATGACCAATATCAATCAGTGCAGCAACTTGCCAGTAGCCCACTGTCTTTCGGCGACATAGGAACCCCACTTCTTCCAGTACTTTTGGCGCTTGCGATCCTCGTTGAGCCTCGATTCCTCGGCCGTCTGGAGCTCGTGGCCGTCGAAGACAACCATTGTGTGTGATGCTGGGAGGCGAAGTGGCGGTAAAGAGTGAAGATGACCTCTGTGTCACCAGAAATGATAGCGGGATGACTGGACACACCACCAAAGCTGAGCGGTGGAGATACTAGTGAACGTGAGTATGGAGTACCTCGACGGTGCTCACTATCGAGTAGGTAGGGAGAGAAACGAATCAGGTGCAGGTCGACGA